CCCCCCCCCCCCTCTCTCTTCTCAATGCGTCGCTTCCATGAGGGCCCGGATCTCGTCGTACAGCACCAGCAGAATCGACGTCCCCATGCCCCTGATGAGGTTCGCCGACAGCCCCCGATAGAAGCCGCGGTACCCTTCCGTGGCGACCATCGTCCGGAAGCAGTGGAAGCTGCTCTTGTACATCCTCTCCTTCCTGCCCGTCTCCATCATCATGCGCCTTCTCACCGAGTCGATCGGGTAGATGATCCTAAGAGCGGGACGGACGGACGGACGGCGCCATCATGGGACGGCGGTGGGCGGGAACTCAATCAACCAACCAAAGCGCTGCTTCGGCAACAACCATATACAAGGGGAGATGGCGATGACGACGACAACAGCGCGGAACACCAGAACCCTCAAGCACGACGGTACCCACGGATTCCGAGTACAAGCATATTGATTGGTAACAAGGACGCAAGCACGACACCTACAACTGCGACGTGGACCGGAGTCCGCCCTCCCGGGGAGGGAGCGATCATGCAGAGGAAAACGACCCCTCCCCCCCCCGCAACAAATCATCTGCCCCCACGCCAAAAATCTCCACAAGCCCAGCGATTACTACCCAAAACACTGATAAAAAAAAAAAAACGCGAGTTGTAGTATACCTATCTCGAACGAGAAACAGTGTAGTCTTTCTGTGATTGTATGTATACTTCGGAAAGAACGCAAGTAGGGGAGGGGGGGGGGGGGCGCGCGCGCCTCCGAAGTAGAATTGGACGAAAAATGGTATGCATATGTAGGTACTCACGTTCCTGCCGTGGAGGTCGCCATCTGAGCGACTGCCCACCGCTCCTGCAGCGTGCCGCCCTGCCTCCCCCCGAGTAACCTGGTGGTGAAGGTGTCGTACAAGCCGAAGTAGAGCGCCCTCCACGCGCCCACGCCAAGCACTGCCACGTCGAAGCCTCGGTAGATACCTCGAAGGCCCTGCGATTCGTAGCCATAAAAAAGTATCGTGGCGGTATTTTATTAGGAAAAATAAAAAAACGCACGGAAAGACTACCCGTTCGAGATATACCCACAGGACGTGATAGATGGACTGGTTCAGCTACATCGAGACTTCGGCGACGGTTCGATGAGAATGAGTTTGACAAAGGTTTGTCTTGTACTGCTGCGCTTCGGCAAGGACGCATAGTTCAGCTTTCGGTCCCACTTACCTTGATCAGAGTCCTTGGGTGCCCGGTGATTTAATGCAATCGTTCACTTCGTTGTTTCCCTGTGATGCCTCAATAAAGGGGTTCTGAACTATCTCCAAAAACGTCGACAGCAGAGCCAATCATCCGGCACGTCCAAGTACGCAGCCACAAATCACCGCTCCGTCCTGTCGAGGACGCGTGGTCAATGATCTAACAACTAAGGTATGCAAAGCACGAGCACGCCCCCCACCCAACGCAGACAACACGACGAACAAACAAAACACGATTACAGCGACCCATTCCGCCTGCGTGCACACCAACACCCGGCCCTTGCTGCTGCCGTTGCGGCTGCCGCTGCTGCTGCTCCTACCGACGGCGAGAAACCAACGCTTACCGGGGGGGAAGGACCCGAACCAAACCTTAACTTACCACGGTCGAGTACGCCTGGCGGAGACAATCCAAGCTCCCGCGGAACTGCCTGTTGCCCGAGGACCGGACGTCCGTGCCCACCCGGGTGCGGGCGAAGTCTAGCGGATAGAGCACGGACAGGCACACCGCGCCGGAAGACGCACCCGACAGCATCGATAGGCCCAGGAACTTCCAGAAGTGGTCGATGGGAACGGTGTCAAGGCCGAAGAGCTCTCGAAACCTGTGGCGGGCGGCGGGAAAAGGAGAAGGAGAGGAGCACAAAAAGTGTAGGTGCAGGGCGGCGGGGGGGGGTGTACTCATAGTCGTGCATGCCTTAACGGTTAGACCATAGACCACGCGTCCTCCGTCCTCGAGAGGAAGGAGTATCACGTACTTGACGCCATCCTCGAGATGACGGAGCACCACGTACTTGACGCAACGCAAGGGTCCGGGGAGGTTCGCAGTTCCGGAATACATCATCCACCGACAGCCGCTCCGGCACTACTTGCTGTTTGTTTTGCGTTCTTACGGATGCCATGACAATACCCCAGTAGCAGTCTACACGCAAAAACGACACAATAGACACACGCCACACGTGACTCCCGCCGTGGCACCGACCAAGGAGAGAAGCAGTTGCAATCCTTGTGGTACGAGGCATGAGACAGATGGGCGCACCTGTCCCTGAGGGAGAAGTTGAGTGCCTGAGACGGGATATGCCGGGCGATGTTGACGGTGTTGCCTCTCCAAAACGATAGCAGACCCTTTCGCCGGATCATCAAACAGGATCGAACACGAACAAAACAACACGCAAACCAGTGCGTTGAACATCAGGCAAGGCAGAACGCAGCGACCGCGCGATATAGTAAAGACAGAAGCAGCGTGCGACAAGTTCCCTCGAAGTAAGGCAAAGGACGTGTTCATTCGACTGAATATATCGAGAGAACGAGGCATAAAAAGTACGCACACTTGTCCGCAGATGTTTTCACGGTGCGCCTTGAGGCGCCCTTGCTCATGTATAATAGCTCTCCAAGGTCTAGAACTTTTGAAATCCAGCCAGGCAGGCAGAGCGCAAGGGTCTGACTGATACGAGGACGATTTTCTCGAGTTTTGGGGAATGTGGAGCAACGCGGCACAGTGAGCGAGTGTCGTTTCAAAGGAACACAGATCTTGCTGCTTTGCGCGCATCGCTGTGCGTAAGCGTGGGCGAAGAAGCTCTGTCGAAAAAAAAAACACAAGCACCAGGAACGAAGGAACTCCATGACCAAGTCCTTCATCGCACGAGCAAAACCTGCACTTCCACCAGAGGGTCGCCCACCCAAGCCGCACACAGCACGTAACCAACTTTCCAACAGACACAAGAGGTACACAACGCCCCCCCAAACGGCATCAACAACGACCGTTCCGCCTGGTGTTCAGTTTGGTTAGCCGCCGCACCTGCTCCTTGTACACCCTGCGGATGCAGTCGGACAGGCCGTTGTAGCGGCGCTCTGGCGGAATGTCGGTGTGGACCCACTGCACTTGAAGGAGCAGTTTCGCCCTGGCGTCGTGTCGACATATGGAGGCGGCGGCATCGGTTTGCAGCAACGGTCAACGTCAACGCAATAGGGGGGACACATGCTCGAAATCATCACCTACGGTCTTGAATATCGTGGCCGCCCCACCCCTCGAGTTATGGCGGGGCTTAGGGGTTCTCGCCAATCTGTATTGCGAGCTACGGAAGGTTCCTAAGGGTGGGGATGTCTCTCATGTTTTTCTACACCAATGGTGGCTTTCTTTTGGCCCGCTAAATGCAGACACGAGCACGAGTTTCTTGCATGGTAGACGGGAAACAAACGCAGCAGTGTAGATACTCCAGCCTGATGAGACCACGTAGTAAGGCGATTACCGATACAGCAAAAATAGAGCTGATGCAGAGGGAGCAAAATTCGAGACATGACTTGGTAGAGGCACAAGTTATCTTTCATCTGCCATCTGCAAGCATTAATCTACACAATCGACCGACCGAGAGAGACGGCGCCCCATAGGGTAAGAACTGGATGGGATGGGCTCCAACTAACTGCCTCTGGCCACGCCGCGCTGAGTTCGTCGAGAATACCCGCCGAACGATTGAGAACTTTATGCTTCTTGCACATTTCGTTCGGCGGCCATATGAATGCAACCTTGGGGCGAAAGAGAGAGAGTTTATATACCAGCGAGGTAGTGTGTCAGATACTCTCTGCGTCTCGCACGTGGGTGCCACACGATAACACGCGTCGCGGGCACGCGGGACACCTTTGTGTTCCTTCCTGGACCATTTCGGCCATGTCATGTCATCGTGCGAGCTTCTCCTCTCTCGTTTCTCTCTCTGGACGCGTTTGTGTATCTCTCGGTGGGTTGCACCATCTGCCCTCCCCGCGCCCCCGCGCTCAACAACAAGAACAAGACTCAGCCTATAATAGGAGTGGAGAAGAAATGCGCCGCTCTGGGTGCGGGGTGCGTTGGGCTTTTCCTTGCTCTCTTTGCACCCCGTGGACGTCTCTGTGTTCTTGCTACTCACGAGAAGGCTGTTTTTATTTTTTTTTTCGGCAGAAGAGACTTTGTGTCTCCGCCTGTTGCTGCTATGAAGAGATGGGAGGAGGAGGCACCGAGGGGTAGAGGTCAGAACCAGAACGTCATCCCTGCCAGGACTTCAACCATACTTGTATACCCAACGGAAAGCCGTCGTGATAATCTGCCCCCGTGTTGTCTAGGTACGAAAATGGAGATGTGTTCGCCAAGATACCACAGGCTATTGTACGGTGGCATTCTATACAGCAGCAGCAGCGTGATCGTGGCTTCTCGTGTGTCAGCATCGTGAACCGCCTTTTTCATGCTGAAGCCTGGACCCCTTTATCCTGGTGACCTAGTCTACGTCGTCTTTTCTACAAAGAAAAAATATAGTGCAGGTTGAAGGGGCGGGACCAAGCAATACAACAACATCTGCTAGTCTTTGGTCGCGAGTAACAATAAACTTGCTGTTCGATCTTGTGTAGCGGGGGAGCAAACAGCAGTCCTGGTGCTGTAACACTGGCGTGACAGAGAAATATCCCCCCCCCCCCCGGGATATGTGGAACTGGTCAGCCGATTAGCAGCCAAGAGCGCCGGCTGTTCGTTGATGTTCAGATTTGACGTCACCCCCGTCACCCCGATGGAACAGGACAGAACTCCACAACTCAGTTCAAAATTTTCGCCTTGGCATGAGAGGGCGGAAAGATACCGCCATCTGCTGTCTACCCCTGCCGTAGTTCGTCATTTTCGGTACGCCAACGCAAAGGCCAAAAACCACAGCATGAGCCCCAGCGGCGTTGTTGTTGCCCGACCCGAAGCTGCTGCAAAGAGGACAGATTTTCTACACTACCTCAAGTTCGACCCAAACGGTCGAGTTCTGCTGGCTGGCCTGCTGAGGGGATCTTTTGTTGAAGTTGCGACGTGGCTGACAGAGTACAGAGCAGAGTGCCTCACAGGAAACAACGCCTGGAGCCAAGACGTTAAGGAAGGCCGGCTCCCAACACCTATGTATACACTGGTGGGCTCAGCAGCGAGGTCACTCGGTAGACGAACACCATACCCCCGCTGCGCAATTTTTGATCTGTTCTGACAACGCTCCGCCGCTCCCCTTCGCACCTCTCAATCGGCGCCATCGCAGATTTGGTGAAGCCGCTGGCGACCCCACCGGCGAAAAAGTCGCTGGCGAAACTCACTACCAGGGTCTTGACGTCCACCAGCACCGGCGCGGACCGTTGTTCGCTCATCATGTTGACGTAGAGTCGAGGGGGGGAGGGGCGAAGCACAGCAGCAGCAGGAGATTTGTGGGGTGTTGCCGCATAGTAGTTGTGATGATGTTGGCTGTTCGCGAGCGAGCAGCTTCTTTTTCTTGGTTCTTCCGCGTCAGAGAGGAGGGGTACGTCGTTGAAACTATCTCTATATGACGGAGCCCCCATTCACAGCAGCCAATCGCTGATCGGCAGCTGCCCCGTCCACGCCACACGCAGCGCACACACAGCAGCAGCACAGCAGGCACCATCAGTACAGCAGTGCCGGTTGAGACGACAGATACAACCATGACTGAGTCCAACAAGATCACGCTGGTGGGGATGGGAAACCCCTTGCTGGACATCTCGGCCGAGGTTCCCGACTCGGTGCTGACCAAGTACGGCCTCGAGCCCGCGAACGCCATCCTCGCCGAGGAGAAGCACATGCCTCTCTACAAGGAGCTGGTGGACTCCTACGAGGTGAGGAGACACTGTCTTCCACCCCCCACACGCGTGCAGATGCACACGCAGCATATCCTTGCATTCGTCTGCTGCGAAGTTGGTGCTTTGGCGAATGCAAGGGATGATGTATTGTTGGTTTGTTCATGTTCTGCTACAACTTGTACACAAAAGCAGCAGCGGAGCCGCTGCTTTTTCCGTGCTGCGCGCTTGTGCGCCACTCTTGATACTGGTACATAGTAGTAGTGCTGCACACCCTTTGTCTGCACATGCAACCAGTGGTGCGGAACCAGCAAACGCTGATAACTGCTTCGAACTTGTGGGCTAGGGCTGACCAACAAGCATTTGGCACCCCCGTGATAAAAATTGATTCCAATCCGGCACACACCTTCCGCTACAATCCATCAAGGATTCGCAGGGTATTTACGACCAACAACGACTACCCGTGCCCATCTTCTGCAGATGGTATAGCCGTTTAGCGGACATATTTCCGGCCTTACGATCGTCCTGAGCCCGATGCCTGTGTCCCCGCTCCAGAGAGATTGAGCTCGTGTGTGTCCCTTTGCAGCAGGAGAGCAGACCTCTGTGTCTTCATCGCACAGCAAACAGCAGCAGTACATACCCAAACCAAAGCAAGCATGGAACGTGTCGCACAAGCCCTCCCCGGCAAGATCTCAAGATCTCACACCCGCCCCACGTCAAGCACCGAGTTAAACCACCGACCCGAGCCCGTGTTATTTTACCATTTCACCCAACACATGCACCACATTTTTATTGCTGTGCTGTGTGATCATGGGGGGTTTGTTTGAGCGTGGAGGCCTCGTCGGGGATGGGGGTCTGTGGAAAAATAAACTCGTACTGCTGTATGTACATCAACAACCCTCCTCTTGTTTTGTAGTCAAGTACTTCCAGTAATCACGGGCAGGTGCCAAATGGCCATCCCGATTGCTGACGATTGCACAAGCGAAGTTGATACTGCTGCTGCTGTACAACGCTGTTAGATCGTGAACACTATGATAGGCTATGATTGTATCCCTTGACGATCGTGCATTCTCATCCGCGCTGAGAGTCCCAGCAGCTCGTTTTGGAGTTTTTTTGTGAGGAATTTTGGCAGCCTGTGGCATGGTCATTCGTTCTCTCAATTCTCGCACGCGGGATGTTCGTCCCATTTCTTTTTATTTATCTGGCGCCAGTCAACACACGTCTCGGTGCAACATGGGTTGCACACGCAGGAGGAAAATCACGCCGGTACATCGTATCATCTACTCGTTGTACGTTTGCTTGTGGTCGTGTCTCGTGGATAATTACATTTATTTCTTGTTGCAGGACCCCCCGTCCGTTGTCCCTCACACCAAAGGTTTACGCCGATACTCGCCGCTCTCTTGCCTTTACTTTCCTTTCCTTTTCTACAAATATGCATAGACAAGTGTGTGCCGAGCATACGAGTCAAAAATGGAAAAACACAAACATGCATGTCAGCTCACAGCCTCTCTCCAGCTTAGGAGCAAGTTCACTCGCTACTTCCACCCGAACAACAGGGATACTTGTACCACCACCCATCATCCCTTCTACTTCCCATCTCTCACACGCGTATCCAATCCCGCCTGGACAGGTCCAGTACATCGCCGGAGGAGCAACCCAGAACAGCATCCGCGTGGCGCAGTGGATGCTCCCGGAAGCGGGTTTGACCGGCTTCATGGGGTCCATCGGCTCCGACGAGTTTGGCGGCAAGCTGGCGGCGTGAGTGCCTGCCTTGCAACTACGAACCTACATGTGCATTCCAAGTTCTGATCGTTGTTTTTCTTGATTTTCAGTTGATTTGAGGTGAAGACAAAAAGAAAAAAAAAGTGTTTGGTATCGTCTTCTAAAGTGTTCAGTGGTGGGACTCTCTGCCTCTCCCGCCGCATCTTGAACGTCAAAACCTGCCATTTCTCTGCTGGGGAGAAAGACCTGCATCTCCAAAAGCTTACGCTGCGCACCTCTCGGCAGACAAAACCCAACCCTGGCATCATTACAATCTACCCATTAATTTATTCAACCAAATAACGTAGCAACACCGGCAAGCAAATGCAGACCAACCCAACCGCCGGCATCTCTACAATTTCCCCGATCATACCTTTTGCAGCCTCTCGTCAAAAACTTTATCGACACCAGCGAAGCACACGCAGACCAACGCAACCCCGGCCGGCATATCTACAATTTTAACCCCCAAACGCATCAACACCAGGAAAGCAAACTCCTTCCCCTACGACCGCCCTCCCCCTCCCTTGGCTTCTTGCTTGCTGCACACACACGACGCGGCGGTGTCCGTTGCCGCGACAGCTGCGCCGGCAAGGACGGCGTGGAGGCCCACTACTACATCGACCAGGCCACCCCGACGGGCACCTGCGCGGTGCTCGTCAACTCCGGGGACCGCTCCCTCGTGGCCAACCTCGCGGCGGCGAACAACTTCGCCCCTGCCCACCTAGAGACGGAGAAGGCCAAGGCCATGGTGGACTCGGCCAAGTTTTTCTACATCGCGGGGTTCTTCTTGACGGTGTCTGTGGACTCCATCCTGGCGATCGCCAAGCCCGCCGCGGAGAGCGGAAAGGTGAGGGGGGGGCACACAGAACGAGGAATCTACGGAGATCGTGAGGGTTGTTTTCGCTGCTCGTGGGATCGGAAGGGATCCCTGTGTGTCTGAATGCTCAGGAATTGTAGCAGCTGTTTGGATTGGGATAACCCATCCTCGAGTGGTACGCTGTTGGATGTTTTCCGAAGTCGGAGTACAAGGCGGCTCGAGGGACCGAGTGTTGGCCGGCTTGATCATGCTTGTGTGCGTACCCTTTGAGGTTGAGCGTGCACCGGCTTGTTTGGTTCAGCTCAAACCTAAGTACGTGCGGTGCTTGCAACACTGCGAGACCGGGACGGAGAGAGGACAGGACAGGAGAGGTAGCGGGGGGAGCAAAGATTAGCGGGTTATTCTTGGAATCGCGTCGTCTTTTAGGTGATCGATTATCAATGTAGAGGGGAGGGGAGAGGAGAAAGGGGCGCGAGCTCGTTCGTTTTTGTATCGTCCTTTAATTTGTTGCCGCTTTGTTATGTCGGAGCAATTTGAACTGATACCCCGAGCTCTCTAGTCCATAGTCATGCGCACACACGTCGCTCATCATGCTTGGGACCACGGTTTGTGCATTTCAAGCGCGTCCCTCCCCTTTTTTTTCGTTTTCTGTTGGTTGGCCACCCCCAACGCACCATTACCCTCGTCTTCCCCTCACGCACATGGCCGATGTCACCACGCCCTGTCTTGCCACCAGGTCCTAGCGATGAACCTGTCGGCACCGTTCCTGGTGCAGTTCTTCGGGGACCAGATGGCGGCGGCACTGCCGTACTGTGACTTCGTCTTCGGAAACGAGTCGGAGGCCGCCGCTCTCGGGGAGAAGAAGGGGTGGGGAACGGACGTGGCTACGGTGGCCCTCAAGCTGGCAGGTGCGAGAGGCAGACAGACAAAAGACAGATATAAACTGAGAGAGAAAAAGGAGAGATACGTTTGACGGAGATGGATCGAGACAGAGAGAGAGACGACAAAGAGAGAAAGGGAAAGACAGATAAGACAGAGGTGGATCGAGACAAAGATAGAGACGACAAAGAGAGAAAGGCAAGGCAGGCAGACAGACAGGTAAAAGAACCTCAGCTTTGATCGCGGAGGTGCTCGAGCGCTCGAGCACCACGGACGACGCCTTGGATCCCGAGAACGACGAGTGATGGGGAGACGCTGCTGCCAAGCGGGTAAAATGAGGTGGTGCTCCGGGCGACGCTGCGTGCGCATGACTAGGAAGACGGTGGTGGTGACTCAATTCTGTCAACTCGAGGCGCAAACAAGGGTTTTGAAGGAATCGGTTTGAGAAACAGAAGAAGGATGTGTAGCTCGCCGTTGATCCCCCGAGTCGTTTGGTGGCGGGCTGTTAACGTTGTTGCAGTAACAACGCTGGCCGGGGTTGGGTGGAGACGATGCCGTTTAGGGTCCCCGCGGAGGAAAAAATAAAACTCTTTTGGGGCTCGACAGGCAATAGGGCGAGCGGAGGACCGACGTCGGCCGAGCCGCAAAACGCGGCAGCTCTTCTCCTTGCTGCCCTGATCGCGGAGTGCACTCACTCCCGTGCTGTACACCGCCGTCCGTGTCGCTTAACACACCACGTATGCGCGCCTCTCTTGTCGTGGCGTTTCCCTTTCGTTTTTTTTTTTTTTCTCTCTCTCTGTTATTATTAATAGCTTTGCCCAAGGCTTCCGGCACACGGGCGCGCATCGTGGTGTTCACCCAGGGCGCGGAGAGCACGATCGTTGCTAGCGACGGCGTCACGACCGAGTACAAGGTGGACGTGCTCCCCAAGGACAAGCTCGTGGACACCAACGGTAGGTGGCCTGGTCAGAGGCTCGCACTGCATGTTGGTGGACTACCTACGCAAAGAAACGAAGGTCATTTACGAGAAGCGACGGAGAGGGCATGCAGACGCTAACCGTAACCCTAGCCCAACTTCGACGATTCTATACTTTATCCAGCATGTTTACTCACGTAGAAAAACCTGCGCGGACTGCTGATAATCGGTGCTTCGTATCCGACGCGTTTGTTGCCTGGTCTCTCCCGCCGCTTGTACCCAACCGGCGAAGTCGTTCGAAAACTGTTTTTGGTGTCCCGTGTTGACTTGGCGGTTTTTATCGCGCACGTGTGCAGTGTTTTGAAGTTTGTTTGTTTTTGGCCGTGGGCGGATGCGGAAGAAATGTTGCAGATATCGGCCTCCGCGGGACCTCAATGTATTGTGTTGCATGCGTCGGAGCACGAGAGGAAAGAGATTTTTGGCGAATGTTGAGCCAAGGCAAACCGCGAACAGGTCTTCCCAACGCAAAGCACGCCTTGATGTAGCTCCATGCATTTCTGTTGTTTCGGCGCGTTCGAGCAACAACCAGCACGTGGTTCGAAGTAACATGAACATTTCTTCCCCCCCCGTACTTCCCCTCACCCAACACGCTCCCACACCACCTCTCCTCCGGGCGGTTGGACGGACGCCGTTTGGTGCCTCCAACTCCGTACCGCTGGCTTCTTTCTCCACTGTTATTAAACGTTCCGATAGGGGCGGGTGACGCCTTCGTCGGGGGCTTCCTTTCCCAGCTCATGAAGAACGAGGACATGGCCAAGTGCGTGGACGCGGGCCACTGGGCCTCCCGGGTGATCATCCAGCGCTCCGGGTGCACCTTCCCCTCCACCTGCGACTACGAGTAGGCGTCGGAGACGTTGGTGACGTTTCCGATACCGTCGAGTGGATGCAGGCGATTTTGTGATGGTTTTGGCAGAAGGAAGAAGCCATGCCCGGGTTTCGATTTAGTCTGTCAAGGTTGAGTGCGAGCCCCCCCTCACTATAGAAGCAACGGTAAGGGTGCCGTGTGTCTCGCCAAGTTTTGTAGTTGGCATGTCAGCGGGTTAAAACAGGTTGCCTTGTTTGTTGTGGCCCGATTCTTGGTAGTCTCCGCTTGGAGAAGAGAAAAAAGGTTGCTCCACCAGATGCATGCGCGGTCAAATAAATGGCCACAACGGCGGAGGCAAAAGCAACAAAGGAAGTACCCCCCCCCCCCCCTCCCCCCCCCCCCCCTCTCC